ATATAGGCATTTTTACACCTAGATTAGATTCAACATCATGTTTTGGGTGTGAGTTGCTCACCACTATAACCTTCTTTCTGCTCTTTTACCAGGTCTCATTTCGCCCGGTGTCTCAGTTCCAGTCCAAGTTCCAGGAAGTGAATCAGAAATGTCACAGTATTGGCCACGCCTCCAGTGATGTTATAATCCCATCCTGCACGGACTTCACCAAGGGGAGCCGTCCATCCATATGGTTTAAATGTCAAAAAGGACCAGTCATTGAGAGAGACGAGCTCAGAAGACATGGAAAGACGACAACCCTTTCTTTTCAGTTTGAGACAAAATCTTCACAGAGTCTGAATGTTTTTGGGAAATAAAGCATCTAAATATTGATGTAAACTGGATCAAGTATCGTTGTGTCCATCGACTGCCATGTACATTTTGGTTGATGAAGACAATTTCAAATCAGCCTTCAATGAAAACTGCTACCATGAGCCGAAGCCAGGAAGCTAAAAGGATGCACTTCTTTGTTTTTTACAATGAAGTGAGGACCCAAAACGAACTGCGTATTGTATGCATTATGTGAACATTCTTTTGGCAAATCTCTTTTTGTGGCACTTGAAACAAACGAATGTGACTTGTGGCTAAATAAACTTAATTTAAATGTAAAGAGAAAATCTGTGAAACTTGAAAGGTACTCCGGGTTTCTTTTTATACTCTACAAAAGCCTTTCTGTAAGTTCTGTACAGTTTCAAAATACAAGACACTTGTTATTCAGTATGTTTGAAATTGTAAACCAAGTGGTCTGCTAACTGACAGGAATCAGATTTTGAGCTAAAAAAAAAAAAAAAAGTTTGATTTGAATCAAAAGTATCAATGTCCCAAGGATGTGACTTGAGTTTTTAATTTTAAAGTGATTTTTTTGTTGTTTCAAGGGATCTAGGAGAGTTCCAATAAAGTTGTACCAGGTAAAATGCTAACGTTTTATACCATCATAATGTGCACAAGAATGTAAAATGTTTACAAAAGAGAATGTGTTAGGGAATTAAACCTTGTTGATGTGCACTTCTAAGAGCCTTTAAAGTGTAAAAAATGAAGAGTCCATGGACGGTGTCTCACACTGAATCCAGCAGATGGGTCTTGTAGAGTTCATCAGTTTCAAAACTAAGAATTGTTCAGGAAATACCACACGCAGACAAAGACCGGTCCGTTGGTTCCTGTCTGCTGGAAACCTTAATGCACTTATCACCAGCAAACTGGTTGGCCCACTATGTGAGTGTGCTGCTTGTGGGACTGAGTTTGTTGTGGCTCCTCAGACTGATGAAGTCCTTTGGATGAAGGACAAAACCGTTTCACCAAAAAAAGAAACCGTCCAGAGGACCTGACTTAACTTTGCTGGATTTTTTTACCTGGATTATTGAGCATGAACTTTGATGTTAATGCACGAGTTTACTTGGGCTGAAGCCCAGGGGCCTACAGCACCGAGGGGCCCATGGGTGTCACAACAATTATATGTGAAGGGGGGGCATATCCCCGACACTTAAAAAATATTTATTTTGACACCCCCCCCCCCCCCCCCCCATACATTTACCATGAAATATTAATTGGAGAATTATTCAAATATTCCATTCACTAAAAGTCCTCTCCGGGTTTTCCTGGTTACCTGCAACAACCCCACGCCACTGCAGTGTTTCTCCTCGGTCCTCTTCCTTGGCAGGGCGCTCATCTCTGATGGGCTTTTTGTTGACGGGGAGGGGGAGGAGGGGGAGACACATCTATGTTGTGCGCAGCTTAGCGCTATGTTAGTGCCGGCAGTTGTTGACCAGGGTGGGGGGTTAGGATGTGTGAGAAAAGCAGAGCGTGCTCTATTCACACAGGGAGAGCTGTTGGTCAGGATACTTCTTGTTGATCTCTAAAATAGTTTTTGAATCAAGTGTTTACTAATGTAGATAAAAGTAGATGTTTAACAACTGTTAAAATACACCAGAATGCAGGAAATGGGATCTACTTTATCAACATTTCCTGGTGGAGGACTTCCAGACCCCCCCCCCCCCACACACACACACACACACACACACACATTCCAAGCTTCTGATGCCAGTGGGAGCACCTATCATTGTGACACCACGTGATGAGCTGGAAGACATTGTTTAGTGACTTGTCAGGTTTCCTGTCGATCACTTCAGATGCATGTTTGCAGACGCTGATTGATCCAAATGAAAAGTGACCCATGTGAGCTCAGTGGGCAGTGGTCCAGGAGCTGACCAATCAGAATGTGTATTGATAGGTTTGGGGCGTGTTTCTCTGTGATTGGCAGGAGATCTGGTAAATCCAGTTCACTTTATGGAACCAGGTTAATCTGAATCAATCACTAAAATAACCTGGTTCACACTGCACACGTGTCAGATTTAAATGTTTTGGTGTTCATCAAGAATATCTGATCATTTAATCCTAAACATTCAGGTAAAAACATCAAATGCATATTTAGTGACAGGTTAACAAAAAAACAAAAAATAATTATTTGTTGTTAATTTTCCAAACATGCTAAAAAAGTATGAACAGATCAGTTGATACTCTCATAGAGATGATGAATCTTTGAGATACGTTTCAAACTAAGTGTTTGATGTTAATTAGTATCACGAGATCCTTCAAGCCTTTTATCAGCCTGTTTAGAGGAACTACAACCTCTGTGAGAAAACATCTGCCAGAGGAGCTCAGGAAGACCACAGATCTCCATGTTGAAGGTAAAGGCAGCTTCATGTTCCTCTGATCACAGCTAACAAGACTTTTAAAAAAGTAGATGGTTCATGGGACTGCAGCCAACTTCCCAAGATGTGGATGCAAGAGAAAATGCAGCACCAGGTTGATCAGATGAATATTGCTGTTAGAATAAAAGCCAAGGAAAATCACCCATCTCCAACATCAAGGTCCATCACATTCTGACCACACCATCTGCCACACTTTGACTCATAGTGGGCTCCATGAAAGAAGGCCCAGGAGCTCCTCTGCTGACAGCAAACACAAAAAACAGACCGGAACACGTTTTATACGCCCCAAAATCTTTGAGTCTGTTGCTGTTTGTCAGGATCTGTGTGTTTCTGGGCTCGTTCCTCAGTTTACATCTGAGCTGATAAAAGCCGAAGGCTGGTGATGTGAGTGTCTCTATAGAAAAAGTGGTCCAGCAACCCACAGAGATCCACTTGAAGACAATTACGAGGCATTGTTTTCATTTCTCAACAAACCTTTCCAAGCCCCAGTTCATACTTCACCTCTCTCTGTTTCTTTCTGTTGTTCTTCTTAACGACGACTCATAAAACTCACCTGCTCCTCAGTCCAAACCCTGTTAGCTCCTCACAACCCACTTGGCACCAAACTCTTTCTTTCCTGCTCTGGCATCTCTGATCCACAAGTCCAAGTCCTCCTCCTGCCAGATCCTCCCCACAGTTTTAGCGTACGCCTGTGTCCCCTCTCTACTCCTACACACCACCCCCCAGCTCCGCTTTCATCCATTTTTCACTCAACAATGGAATTATTTCTGCGACCGCCACCAAATATCTGTGACCAGTGTAGTTTTGCTGGGTGCCGAGCCGTCTAACTTCAGTGACGTTCGTCTCAAAATCTACTCAACTCCATTTCGTTTAACAATCTTAATGAACAATTCCAGTCCTGCTTCTGCTCTCACCATAATGTGTGTGTGTGTGTGTGTGCGTGTGTGTGTGTGCGTGTGTGTGTGTTCGTGTTAATAATGCTCGACTGGTGAGGGAAGTGAAACACGAGTGACTACAGCTGTGACTAAATGGAACCGGGAACCAGGAGCACAACAAAGTCCTCGGCTACTGTGGGCCGAATGCTCCCCCCTCCCCCCCCCCCCGGTTACCTGTATTATCTTGAGTCCCAGTCGTTTGCTTAATGAGAAGATTGAATGAGATGAAATCTATTTCAGATTAGTAGAACCTCATAAACATAAAAAAAAACATCAGTTTTCAGCTACTAAGGGTTAAAAATGTATAAATATGTAAATAAATATTTTATTTAAATTTGAAAATAAAAAATCTTAAAATCTATTTTTTTTCATTTAGACTTTATTTATCCAGGTAGTCTCATTGAGCCACGAAAACTCATTTTCAAGAGAGACCTGTTTAGGGGTGCATGGTGGGAGTTGGGGGCCTTGCTCATGGGCCCAGGGTGGGGTGAATGAGGGTGGGGGCAAGTGTGAGTGTTTCACCTACCCCACCCACAATTTTGATGTTGTCGGGGCGTGAACCGGCGATCTTCGAATGACAGGCCCACCTCTCTAACCTCTGCGCCACCACCCCCCCACCTGAGTCCCCCTGAGTAAAATCTACTGGTCTAAAACAAAACATCCTCCACATTAAAATGCAACTAACCCTACTAGGTGAGAGAGAGTGAATGATTGTTTGTCTTGTTTGCCTCTATGTGTCCCTTTGATGGACTGGAGACCTGTCCAGGGTGTCCCCCACCCCTCGCACAGTGACTGCTGGACATGGGCACCAGCGACCCCCGTGACCCAAAATGGAATAAGCGGGTAAAGAAAATGGATGGATGGATGGATGGATATATATATATATATATATATATAGGTATACACACACACAGTATAATATAACCTTGTAATCATTTCACAAGGGGCAGGGGTACAACATGAAAAATCAATTAATTCCATCAAGTGATTTGACATGATAAGTTCCAACAATCTTCTCAGTTGTTTAATTCTGATGCTCCTTTTTCCTCCAACCTTTTGTTGACCTTGTTCCAGCGGTCTGGAGACCATATCTAAAACTGTCCGCTTTAGTCTCCAGTCCCTTGACAATCTACAGATAAAATTGAACTGAAAATGCATCTTTTTGTTTTGGTTTGCTCCAGAAAACGTCGGTTCAAATTGAACGTACGCTGTTTTCAATGAGTGATTTTTAAAAACTGTAACTGGTTTAGTGTTCAATGCTGGAGCCAAACGGGGACAACAAATCAAAATCAAATGAACACGCTGACGTGTTCCCCTCAAAGCTGCTCTCAGACTTCACTGCAGATTCAGAAGAGGGACATTGTTCAACAGAAATCATTTTTTTAATCTTTTGTTTCATTGAGTCCCTCAGCTCGTCATTTTTTTCACTCCTCCACTGAGTGGGTGCCAAATGAGAGTGAGGTCAACCTCTCATTTACCTAACAAAAGACTGGAGG